CAGAGATTGATGGAATCCAATTCCCTCATTTTAACCATGAAAAAATGAAGAACTTTAGGGAAGAAGTCATTTGCCTCACAGCACAGAACAGAGCAGTGGTAAAAGCAAAACTAAAACCCAGATCTCCTGTTGCTGCCCACCACATTGTCCATTAAGGCCCAACTGCTTCATCGTCATCAACACTGTAGAAAATAATCATGGGGCACAGCTGAACCAATAGTGTAAGCTAAACCAAGGGACTACAGTGGGCCAAGTGAGTTGAGGTTTGGAAGGTAGAGCGGGGTGAATCTACAGAGGAGAGGTCTGGGAAGATAAGATGTTAATGCACTATTCCTATGTCTGTGTGGGCTTCATTTTCTTCTTTCTCTCAATTTCCTACTTCTCTACAGTAAGTATACATTGCTTTATTGCCTTTGAAATAAATAAAACCGTTTGTTAGGTTACTTATGCTGTGATGTATCTTATGGAGGCAGTATGGGAAAACAGGGAAGGTATGGTGGAGTTGGAGGTCAGGCAAATGAGGGTTCTGCAAGCATCTCCACCACTAACTGGTAGTGGGACCTTGTATAAGTTATTGAGCCTGAGCCTCTGTTTCCTCCTGGGTGGCATGAGGATAACGGTAACCTTGCAAATTTGTAACCTTTTATTACAGGAAAAGAACACAGGACAACACCTGGAACATAAGAGATACCCAATAAAATGGTAAGTAGCATTTGTGCCACTTTTGCATCTGGGGTTACATCCTGACCATTAAATGATGCCTCTGCCCCTGAAGAGATTATTTCATTGCATTTCACTATGATGTCATTTGTGTGTGCCAGTATAATTCACAGGAAAACAGAATGGTAGCTGACTTTCCAGGTTCTGAAAGAGGATAAACACAAAAATGGAAGAGAATAGCTCTTCCATCATCCAATGCATCTCTCAAGTGCTTTGACTAACTGAAGCTGGTTGTCAGCTATCAAGGACAAGCAAATAGCAAACATGATATGGAATGGTACAAGTCTTCTTCTTTTTTTTAAGAGACCACTTTCATTACTAATGAGTTTTTGAGAGTGATACAGGGATCTCAACACTGACACTTGACTACTCCCTCCCACCAACAGCTTCATGTACAGTGTAGGGTAGAAATAACACTGGATTAGGAATAAGAGTACTGGTGCCTTTCCCAGCCCTGTAAATTACATAATTGTGACCATAAGTAAGTCATTTCACCTCTGTGGATCATGGTTTTCCTTTTATAAAATGGGGAGTTTGAACCAGATGAATTTCAGTTTTAAAATCCTGTGGTCTTGTTCCCACACATTTTCAAAGCCTCCTGTGGCCAGAGCCCAGGTTCTCAGTCATCCTCTTCCCAGCAGGCTCCATTTGCTCTGGATGTACAAGCTCTAGGCTCATTGGGGCTTCTCCTCTGCTTTGCTGTTCAGTGCAGATGGGGTGTTACACTCTCCTTTCCACTTACCCACTTCTTCCTGTCCTGGCAGACTCAACACAATTCTCCGCAATCGTAAGAATTTTTCTCTGACCATTTTGGTCCTCTCTAACCTCACTATCCTTTGGGTTACTGTTTAAAATATCTTTGTAATACTTCCTGGACTAGACTGGGAGGGCAGGGCTCCAAGTCTGAGACCATTTCTGTTATCCCCGATACTACCCAACACAACGCTCTACATCCTGAATCTTCCTTTGCTCTTTTGTAAAAAAGATGCCATCATCTATCTCCTAGAGCTTCTGGGAAGAATAAATGATAGAGTGATGTGGCAGCCCCCAGCATTTTGACGAGAATCGATAAGGAAATCAAATCCTAGTTTCCTTCCTTTCCTCCCTCTCTATATATTTGGTGCCTGGTCTTCCCTGCAAGGTGGTCTACTGAAAAATGTATTTGTCTGGTTGTGCTAAGAGAACCTTGGGCAAGTCCCAATTTCTCTGCAGCTTAGATTTTGTTCAAATGAAGATAATGGCACCTGCTCCTATCTCTTATGATAGGAGGATAAAATGAGTTAATATATGAAGAAGCACATTCTTTTGAAAAGCTGCCGGCTTTATTATATTTCCTAAGTCTAGCTTCAAAATGAAAAATCTTAAAACAACACAAGAGACAGCAAGACGTCAATGTTAACAGGTGATTTGATGATGACTGTGAAAATCTCACTCTTGATATAGACTAGAAACGTCAGAAAGTTTTATTACTGTTCCTTGGGGTAGAAAAGCAGAGATACTGAAAAGATTAGGAAGCTTTCTTTTTTGAAAGAAATCACCTGGGGCATTACTTGTCTCCCAAGCTGGCATATTTTCTAAGTCAAACAATATCATAAACACATGTAGGGGGCTTTGTGGGACTCAGAATCTGGAGATATCCATTTGACAGTGCTAACTGTAAACTAATAAAAAGCTGAGACATTGAAACCCTTATGTTTCTTATAAATACACTTTATTCATTATTATTATTTCTTCCGTATTAAAGTATACCAAGGTTAAAGGTGAGAGAACAGCAAGAAAATATATAGTCCCCAAATAAAGTGGTTTTTTGGTATCAATAAAAGTTATTAACACCCATAGGGTATATAATACAATGTAAGAAAAACTATTGTACATATTAAGGAATAAAATATCCAAAAAGAAACATTTCCATCCTCAAATCCTTTTATTAAAAAAAAAAAAAAAAGGAAACGGATTAGGGGAACATAATTTGGAGAGAGGGATTCTGGAAGAAAAATATATTTCTAACAACAACAAAAGGGCATCAGATATTATTGGTAACAAAAAAGACTTTAGAATTATCAGTTAAAGACTCAGCTTTTCTGCCATTTCAGAATGTAATCACTCAGACAGGTAGGGAAGTAGAAGTGTATGTGTGGTATAAATCAGAGAAAAAGAAATATAAGTGTGTGTACGTGTGTATGCATGCACATGTGTGCTGGTGGGGAAGATAGAGATTTAATCTCTAGCATTTCTTATAAGTTTACAAAGTCAATTAAGAAACACCTGGCCGGGCGCGGTGGCTCAAGCCTGTAATCCCAGCACTTTGGGAGGCCGAGGCGGGTGGATCACGAGGTCAAGAGATCGAGACCATCCTGGTCAACATGGTGAAACCCCGTCTCTACTAAAAATACAAAAAATTAGCTGGGCATAGTGGTGCGTGCTTGTAATCCCAGCTACTCAGGAGGCTGAGGCAGGAGAATTGCCTGAACCCAGGAGGCGGAGGTTGCGGTGAGCCGAGATTGCGCCATTGCACTCCAACCTGGGTAACAAGAGCGAAACTCCGTCTCAAAAAAAAAAAAAAAAAAGAAAAAGAAACACCTATACAAAACAAATCAACTCTAACAAGAAGTCATGTAAAAATGTTTTCTCTTATTTTTCTTTGTTAAATACCTAACTATATTTTTTTAAACATTTCAGCTTTATTACTTTTTATAAATATGTCTTTGCCATAATTTGTCATATATTTTATAAGTGGCTGGAGGAGATTTCATGCATTGCTAATTCATACATATAAAATGTGAAATCTGCATTAAATATCTTTAAACGAAACCCTACTTTCTTGCTATTTTTAAGAGGAATAGGCTGAAGAAGAGACAAGAGGACTCTCATTACAAAGATTGACCCTCTTAGAATTAAGGCTATTCTTTTTTGAGCATCAACCTGCTACTAAAACATTCCTGGTACCAGGATTTACAAGGTCTGAGTCTGGAAATACTACAATGGTTGATCGGCTTAAGAAAAAATAAAATGTTAGAACTAGAGAGAGCAGCGATTAGAAGTGGCTGGCAACATTCCAGAGTTGCTTTTTAGTACCCTTTTAAACTCCTTTGGCTACTAATTCTCATCTCATACCATCTTTAGGTTTATGTCAAATAAACCAGGACAGTGATATTACAACGTGTAGGAAAGATCCAAGCAGCATACTACCCACATATACTCTAAATTACTGACATCTTACAGGCTTTGCATTGTTTCGGTACACTAAAATACATGATTGAATCTTCCTGAAGAGAAGCACAAATTTTACAGCTTTCTTGGACTATATTATGGCATTTCTTACTTACAAAGTTATTTTCTACAACCTCTGTCAATAAAAGTGGATTTTTAAAGATGTAATGTATGTACAGTTTCATAGTTCAAATTTCCATTAAGAGAAACCTGAAGAGACAACAATCAAGTGGGCAAATAAATGAATGTAAAAAAATAATGCTTAACTGTAATGAAAAAGAGTAGACATTTCTTGAAAACAAAATAATTGTTGTCATTTTATTAATATAGTTAATAAATTAGTTTTATAAAGTAAAAAAAAAAAAAAAAAGCTCTTCAAAATTTTCATTAACCAGTGACTCAAAAAGAAAATAAAACCCTCAGACTATTTTAATTGTCTTAGAGTTCTTATATTTGCTCCTAAGAAACTGTTTATCACAATGTAAATACTAAGGAGATGTTTAGGCAGTTTTATACTTTTTAGTCTCGAAATCTATAGAAACTCCTTTTTTCCCCAGAGATACCATTCTTAGCCACCTAAACAAAATATAAAACACTATTTAGCAATAATCTCTTTAAATAGCTGAATACCATTAAACAAGATAGGGCTAGGCTGATTTAAATTATAAGCTGAAGTCTGGGAAAAACAAAGTCTATATAATACAAAACTTTGGAGTCAAGTAATATTACATGTTTAAGACAAATATATTCATATTTAAATAACAATTAAATAGCATCAGACTAAACACTAACCATTCTTAATCACAGTTTAAGTCTGATAACCAAAATCAAAAATTTAATGCCATACAAAATACATCTCACAAACTAACCAATGCAAAGTCTAAGCTTTAAACTTTTTGATAGTGTCAATAAAAACCCCAGGAAGGGAGAATATTGCAACTCTCTTTGGAACACAGGTATCTTAAATCATGGTTAAACAGACAGAATGTTAAGAATGGTATGGTTTTTATTTTCTATAGCAGGTTTATTGACACTTTTTTTTCTAGTAAAGTTTGAAAATCTGACACTACCTGTCAACATAGAAGGGGAAACAAAACTTGGTCAAAGTCTGTAGAACTTCCTGTGGAGAGAAAGAGAGATAATTTATACATCTAATGGGACCAATAAATCTAACATTAACCACAGCACACAATCTAGCAACTTTACCCTAAAGAAAGAGGAGACAGATGAAGAAATATGGGCTTTATCAATTACATGGGAGGAGTACCAGGCAGTCAATCATGAGAAATAATAAACATGATCAAACTTCATTAAAAATGAAAAATTAATCAAGAATCACACATGGGCAAGCAGCAGGAGCCATGCAGGAAAACTCTGAAGGGAGGGAAGCGGTTGGGTTGCTGAGTGTTAACACCCCTCCAGGGAACATCTCCAGCCTGACCATATGGATCAGAGTGAATAACACCGAGCCACATGGGTTTGGCCTGGCAGGGCCGCTGTTGCTGGCACCGTTTTTGCCTGTTACCTAGGAACAGAGGGGGCCGGGATTAGACAACGCTTCCCAACATCAATAGGCCAAATCACAGCAGAATGGAAAGCCAACTTGAAGATAATTGTCCCTGAACATCGTCAGCTACATTTTTTAGAGTTTAAAACTTCATTTACTTACTTTATAAAGAAGTTGCCATTTTTGGCATACACTTATTTTGGAACCAACTGTAACAATTTTAAGTACATACTATTCTTATTGAAATATCACCATAATTGAACATACTCACCTGCTTGTAATTTATTAAAATCTAAAGCAAACTACCAGTTTAAATGTCTTTAAAAAAAATATATATATATATATATATATATATATATATATATATATATACACACATACATATATAAGTACATAAAGCCAGGCACATTATTCAGGATTAGGGTACACAAAATAAGGTGACATCTCAACAACTTATTCATAAAATAAATTCTTACTATAACAACAACAACAACAACAAAAGTACATGACACACAATATACAGTGGTGTGTGACTTTCCCTAAAAGACACATTTCATATATATAGCACATATACACATAGCTAACCACATAGACAGGTAGTTAGTTACTATTTCCTTCATAGAATTTTCCTTAGCTTGACTTAATTTAACTGCAGACTTGGACAGCCCACAGTTGGTGCTTATCATAAGTTCACAGACCAATGTTATAAATTTTAAAAAAGTATTCCTTTCATGCATTTGATTTGCTTTTTAACTATTTAAAATCCCAACTTCAAGATGAAATGAAGAACACATTTTTCAGTCATTGAGAAGCTGGTTCAAATTAAAACAAACCTGCCCATTGCAAACCCTAATCCAAGTGATAAATTAAAGATCAGTTTACAAATGTAGCACTTTTCTAACCAATAATAATGAATTATCAATGCTAACTGAATTGATGCTTCTCGCTTCATTTATTTTTAAAACCACTTCTATCATTCAAGAAATAAACCACATCAATCTAATAACCCACTCAATGAAGCAGAAAGCACACTTACTTGCTTTGCCAGAGCATGTTCCGCCTACATAATTCAATTGAGCATATCCTATTTTTTAATATCATCTTGGACTGGCACTATGTATATCACAGCACTGTTAAGGCATGTCATGAAATAATATAATAAATGAATAGGAAACTAAGAAGTGAAAAAGTGGATGAGAACACCTCAGCATATCCTAAGAAACATTATTTATAAATTAGTTAATTTATAATGTGGCACTCAGGCATATACATTGTTTATAAACTAATCACGCTTAGATAAACTGCAATAGGTAATACAGAATCAGAACAAAGGCAATTTTTCAGTGCATAATGTTATTATCAGGCAAAGATAGGAAAAGAGATCACATAAAACATTTAATGCCTGCAGTTTTAATTAATTATAAAATATACTATAATTTATATAAACAAAATCCTTATGATTTACACAAAAATTCCTTACAAATTTCCTTCCACTTCCAGTTTTGACTAGTAATGGAAAGCATCTCTTAACTTCAGTATATAAATCTGCAATTCTTTAAAACTCAGTATTCACTGCTCACTCATTGACAATATCAGCTACAAAGACAGCTATCCTTTACCACTCAAAAGTTACAGGTGCAGAAAGTACTTCTCTACTCTATGCTGGAGTTGCACTGGCAAAAGGCCTCAAAGATTTTTGAAAGAAAGGACCCCCATGGCTATGAGAAGGCATTGTGCTCTACAGCAGAGTCAAAGGAATCTAATATGCCCAACTTATTACTCACTACAATATAGAAACTTCTTACCACTCTCTAATGTCAATAGTAATAACCAACCCTGAACTTGTCTGTCAGATAACATTAGAACAAATACCAAAATACCCAATGTAAGCTGAGTGTAACCACCCACCAGCTTTCCTTTTTACCAAAGCAAACAGCAATAAATCTAATTAAGCAATGGGGCAGGGGGAGGGGAGAGAGAAGGGAATATAGGCAAATGTCGGCACATGTTGGTACATTACAATATGTTTCTTCATGTTTGTGATATTACAAGAGCTTGATATTCCAATTTAAGTCAAACAAGATGGTGGTGTGCTGTCAGAAGAAAAAACAAAAATGAGCATCTACTCTGTGTTCGGCATATTCACACATTATCGAATTCAGACCTGAGATATCTACTTCTTAATTTGGGAAGGGGAGGACAGGAAGAGGGAGGGAAAAACAAACAATGTTCTCTGTAAATAAAAACTGCAATAAACCAATTTAATAAACAAGTTACATAAACTCATTTTCTTAATACTGATGTTTTCCTTACATATAAACATTCATGCCTTATCCTCTTTTCCCAAAGAAAAATACAATTATTTGAATATGAAAAATACTAATCTCTGAGAAAGGGGAACTTTAAAATCCTGATTTAAATATATTTGGAGCAGCACATTCATGGCAGTGTCCCACAGTCTTCCAATACTAACTTTATTGGGACATCAGTCATTAACCAGTTACCAACCTCTTTTTCTCGCTAGAACTTGTATCTTTGGCTAGGGCACCTTCTTTGTAGATGGTTAATTTGTTGTTCCCGTTCCCGTTTCTCTTGCCTACACAAGCTCTTTTAGACAACCAGCCTCAGTGCAACTTCAATGACTGCCACATAAATCGGGTCTTGGGGAAGCAGCACAGCTGATGAAATGTAAATGACCTCATTGCTAAGGCAGGGGGTGGGGAGGATTGTGTGCCAGCTCTCCAGATCAATTCCCAAGTTTATATTTTCACAAATCTTTTTATGTACAGTTTGATTTTTTAACATTTTAATGAGCAAAAAAGTGAATCTATAGTAGCCAGTCACCACAGTTAAAGTGCAGGGCATGAACTGGATCCCAGGAGGAAACCAGTCCACCATGTCACCACTGGCTTTAGGACATTTGCCACCTGGTTCCATGTCCCCAGGTTCCAACTCTTTTCATAATCAAAACACTGCTGACATTATAAACCCCAGACGGGTCTTCTAAAATCCCTCCCAATCAATATATCCAACACATAACTTATTGGAGACAACAGTGAGCTCATTGATTAAGGTGAGTTCAGTAGCAAAGTTTTCAAAATAAATGAGACAAGAATACAGCATTCAACCCCTTTGTGTCACCAGACAATTTATGAAATAGGCAATTCCAAAAGGGCTTTTCTTCCTAACAAAATATATGATACTTCATGTGGGAAGAAATAAAAGCAGAGGGGGCAGGGAGGAAGTGTGTTAGAGAGGCAGTTGCACAGATCTTTCAGTTATGCATACTTGAAGTAGCAGATTGCATAGTGTAGTAGAAAAGCAACATCTACAAAGCTCTCCCAACAAGAAGATACCAAGCCTTTTGACCCAAAATACGAAATTAACACACGTAATGCTGGACACACTTGCAAATGAAATTCAGAAATGAACTCAAGATTCATTTCAGTCTAGATTCACTTCATCCAATTCTAATTCTCATCTGGTCAGAAGGCCCAAATTTACTCCCATCTGGAGAAATTAGATTATACTCAGTTGACACTGAACCTAAGAACCCAGTAAACTTTTAAATGTATAATTATAGAATCCTATCTGGAAGCAAAACTTTGAAGACTAAATTCAATGAAGTTAACTGGGATTATTAATGAGAAGGCTAGACTAATTCACTCTGACCTTGGGGTGCTAAGTAAACGGGTATAGGAAATCCTGCAACAACCAACATTCCAGATGTCAAATACTTTGTTTTCATTGCTTCATTGAAACCTATAAACAAAAATTAGTTTTATTTGGCAGATGAAAACAACTGACAGTTAGACACAGACATACATACCCCATAAATAAATGCCATCTGAAAGATAAAAGTGCAGGATGATTATAGTGTCCACTGGAGTTACAGAACATAAGAAGATGAGGCATATTCTCAATAGTTCAAAGGGAAAAAAATGTGTGCAGAAAAAGATTTAAATAAAGAGAAGAAATAGCTTGAATAAATGAATGTATTTTAAAATACGTAAAGCCACAATTAGCCTCTTTGTGACTTGCTGAAAGCTGATGTAGCAGTTGATAATTTACCTTTGTCCAAAAACGAGAGTGAAAGAGGGAGAGGAAGGGAAACTGTGGGAGAACATTTCCTGGGTTTCTTATATCTAATTTATTTGTTCATTTCAAAATGTAGGTGTGTGATGAAAGGATCAGCAGAGCTCAAATTCCTAAAATACTCCCTATGTTTAAATTTTTTTTAATAGCATGAGGGAGATGCTGACCCTCTAAGTCCTGCAATTGTGAGCAGTGCCACTGACTTAAAAGCCTCTGATTGATGATCTTAAAACTCAAGTTGAAAGTTAAAAACAGAACACACACAAAATCCAAACATACAAAAAAGCCAACAAAATTTCTACCTTAAGCCATTTCAAGTTAAAACCAGGGACTCCCAATGAACGCTAACAAAGGTTTTAAATGCTGATGATTAAGAAGGGTAAAGCAGTTGTTCTTGGATGCTTAATTAGCACCAAGTTCAAGAATGTTGATCAGAAATTTCCTTAACGTGAACACAGGAAATAAAATTTTTCTCCTTCACTATAAGTGTCAAATTAAATCCAAGACCCATAGTGTAA